GTATCTCCCACCACTTTCTCTTCAAACTCATCAGCCACCTCGTTATCATCACCATATTGATCAAATACGGGTTCATCTACTGCTAACAACCCGCGGCGTTGAAGATTGGGGCAGTTGGATTGGCGATGCCCTGTTTCTCCACATTTAAAACACTTGAAAGTTGCAGGTTTTTGATGTCCCAAAGACGAATTTCCTTCCAAAGCATCTGAAATTTTTGATTGCTCCAATGACTTAACAAGACCAGATTCTGTTGTCGATGATAAGCGAGCACGCTGAACATTCCACGTATTTGTTTGACTTCTTGAGTTCTGTTCAATCAAGAGGGCACGTTGATGAGCTTCCGAAACAGTAAGAGGATCAAACTGAAGTAAAGTGCTTTGAATTTGCGACCGTAATCCTCCGAGAAAACGTGACACCCTTTGTTCTTCATTCTCCATCAATGAATTACGTGCCATTAACGAAAAAAAATCTGGAGCATATTCATCAACAGATTTACTCCCCTGTCTTAAATTCTGTAATTTCGTGTACAAGGTACGTGTGTAATTGTAAGGCAGAAAAGCTTTTCTCATTAATTTCTTCAATTTTTCCCATGATACGATCTTTTCCTTCCCTGCTTGAGCACGAGAAGCTTTCAATTGCTGCCACCACGCTGAAGCTCGACCTCGAAAACGCGTTGCCACCAGAGACACACGCATATGATCAGAGACTTCTTTGAATTCCAACAGCTCCTCTGTTATGTTAATCCAATCAAGGAATTCTTCAGATTGAAGTCCACCCGTAAACTCTGGTAAATCAAGCTTAAAACCCGACTCCCATCTTCTATTATCCCCTTGTGGGACTGCGATGATGTCGCGCTGTTGGCGAGCACCACGTTGATTCTGTTCACCCAACGCTGCAAAGTGATTGACAAAGACGTTATCTTCCTCTTCATCGTCGTCGTCAAAGAGTGGTTCTTCTTGACGTGGTAACACCGGAACTGCGTTTCGTTGACCTTGAGCAAGAGTTCTCACGACAGATTCCATGGTAGTACGCAAAGTATCACTCAAACTCTGCTGAAACTCAGTCATCATCAATCTAAACGCATCGTTGTGCTCCTCTAGTGTCGCTTGAAGGCTATTCTTTGGCGGCATGACTAGGATTCGTTTGTCTCTGATACCAACTAATGCAGCGGTAAGATAGCAAAACAAGGTTTCAAGGATCAATGGATCTTGAAACAAGGTTTTGTGCTCTAAATTCTTTGTAAAACAGAGAGAATTCGAAGACTTCAATTTTGAGGAAAACCTCTTTTCTTATTCAATAAAAACCAACTCTCTTAAGAGAGATTACAAAGCTTTATATAGGTGTCAATAAACCATCATAAGAACACTCTAAAACCTAATTGCAGAGCTCAAAGAAATAGAAATTAAACATAAAAGGAAACTTCAAACATAAAGGAAAACATCTAAAACGATACGACTTGTGAATCACGTAACGAGATGACGCTACATCAAGAGAGAGAGAGGAGGAGAAGAGAGAGAATCCCGATTCTTTTTTTTTTCTTTTTATATTTCTTCTTCGACCAATGGGGTGGCGACACGCATCCACCTCTTACCTTATCTTTTGTCTCTTAATTTTTTTTTGTCAACAGCTTTATTGGATTGGTTCAAATGAGCCAATGTGGAGGAATGTTGGTTACATAAGTAGATAGTTGCGGTAGGGTACGAACATTTCGTGCCAATTTATCCGCCTTCACATTCAAATTTCTAGAAATTAACGATAAAGAGAAAAAATCAAACTCTTCCTTGTCGCTCTGAATCGCCTCCAAGTAAGTCGCGAACGCTGGCCACTCTTGTGGGGAAGACACCATCTTCACCAAATCGGAGCAGTCTGTAAGGAAAGCTACTTCTCTTTTATCTTGGCCGATCATACATCTTATCGCCCAGATTAGTGCTTCAACCTCTGTGTGGAGTGAGGTCAAGCTTCTTCGAGTATTTGCAGCTCCCATGTCGTGCGTTTCTTCGTTTGGATAAGAACAAAACCATCCTAATCCTGAAAAACAATCACTTTCTTTCCAAGAACCATCTAAGAGACATCGATAACCTGATCTATTATGCCCGATATGTCCCACTCTACAATGAGATTGATTAATTGTTGCCACCGTTTTTAGGTTATCATCCGAGATCTCTACCTGAGCCAATTGCCAGGCTTGCTCTTCATTTTCTGCCAATCTTAATATATCAATTGGGCTTTGGTCCATATTATTAAACACCTTATCATACCTGGCTTTCCACAAATACCAAATAATCCACGGAAACATCGATGTATAGACCTCTGAGGGTGTTCTCCAAAATAAATAATCCATATTTGCATATAGTGATCCTGATGGGAAAATATCTGGTGCTGTGGGGATCTGTGATAAAGCCCAAGTCTGACGCACAGGTGGACATTCAAAGAGAGCATGGTTAATTGACTCTTCTGAAGCCCCACATCGATCACATCTAGTATCGCAATTAATACCTCTCCTGCGTAGATTTGAGGTAACCGAAACACATCCAGTTAAGGGTTGCCACATAAAATGTCGTATTTTTGGCGGACATTTTATTTTCCAAGTAAACGCTTGTAGCGGTTTAATGTCTGGTCCAAATTCTTGCAACATAGAGTCCGTCCCTATGTTAAGACGTGCCGTGTGATATCCCGATTTAACCGTATATTGACCCGATTTAGTAAAATACCATCCCAAAGTATCTGGATTTGATAATTTTCCCAGGGGTATAGCATTGATCAAATGAACGTCCTCCGGAGTGACAATAGCTTTTAGCTTATCTAAATTCCAGGAGTTTGTTCGCGTATCGATAAGATTTTTAACTCGTAATAATGGTTCCGAAGAAGAACGATTACTTTTTGCTGGTCTCGGGAATTGAGCTGGAAGCCATGGGTCCTCCCATACTGAGATGGAGTCCCCAGAACCAACTCTTTTAATAAGTCCTTTATTAACCAGAGATCTAGCTGATACAATACTTCTCCACCCATAGGAGGGAGAGTATGATTTAATTGGATCCATAGGATCCGACTTTCTATAATACCGTCCTTTAAAAACCTTCGCAAAGAGCGAATCAGGCACCGAGATTAACCTCCATAATTTTTTCGCTAATAAAGCTGTATTAAAGTCGTCGACATTCCGGAATCCTATCCCCCCATTAGCTTTGCTATGACACATCTTATCCCAAGCTAGCCAATGCATCCCTCCTATTTGACCATTTGAACTCCACCAAAATTTAGCTATTGCACTTGTTAGTTTTGAGGTGATTGTTTTAGGGAGCCGAAAACAGGACATAACGTAAGTCGGTAAAGCAGCAGCCACCGATTTAATCATCACCTCTTTCCCCCCCCTTCGATAAAAACTTAGTCGACCATCCATTTACCCTATTTTGTAGTCTATCTCTCACAAAAGAGAATATTTTTGTTTTTGATCCTCCCATGCTTTCCGGTAACCCAAGATATGAACCCATGCCACCAATCTTAGTAATTCCTAAGACCTGTTGCACTTCCGCTTGTACCTCATTCACAACTGTGTGACCAAACTAAAGAGATGATTTGTCGAAATTAATCTGTTGGCCCGACACCATCTCATATTGCCGAAGGATTCCTAAGATCGCCCCACTCTGTTCTTTATTTGCCTTACAAAAAAATAAACTGTCATCTGCGAAAAGCAAATGAGAAACCGCTGGACTGGGTGTTGCCACCTTGATGCCAGTTATTACCTTATCCTCCTCTGCTCTCCTAATATTAGCAATCAGCACTTCTGTACAGAGGATAAATAAATATGGCGATAATGGATCGCCTTGCCGTAAACCACACTCAGGTACAATCAGTCCTCTAGGTTGTCCGTTGAGAAGCACCCTGTATTGGACCGATTTTATGCACCACATCATCCACATTATCCACTTTTCACAGAAACCCATTTTTCGCAACAAATTCTCTATGAAATCCCATTCTATCCGATCATAAGCCTTGCTCATATCTGTTTTAATGGCCATAAACTTTCCTTTCCATGACGGATTCGTACGAAGAGCATGGAACATCTCTTGCGCAATAAGAATGTTATCAGAGATCAATCGCCCTTCAACAAAAGCCGATTGAGTCTCTGATATTAATTTTGGGAGCACCGTCTTAAGCCTTTGACAAAGTATCTTCGATATAATCTTGTATCCCACATTACAGAGACTTATAAGTCTCAACTCCGTCATTCTTGTTGGTCTTTCCGTTTTCGGGATAAGACAAATATTCGTCAAATTTAACCGTTTATCGAACCTCCCTTCTTGAAGGAAAGAATTTACCAATTGGAGTACAGGTCCACTTTGACCGTATTCCAGGCCTTCTGGAAGAACAATGCCGTCATTCCATCTGGACCCGGTGCCTTTTCCGGATGCATCATAAAAAGAGCAGCCCTCACTTCCTTCTCGGTAGCTGGAGCCGTTAAAAATTCATTTACTTGGTCCGTGATTGTAGTTTTAACCTCTTTTAACGCCTCCTCAAATTCTTGGGGATTCGTTGATGTGAAAAGATTTTCAAAATAGGAAACCGCTATATGCTGGATATTTTTATCCTCATCCGACCATATTCCGTTTTCATCATGGAGTCCGATAATCCTGTTCCGGGCTCGACGTTGTTTTGTCAGTGCATGGAAAAATTTAGAATTATGATCCCCAACACGCATCCACAAACCCCGACTTTTTTGATACCAATATATTTCCTCCTCGCGGTAAGCCTCTCTCAACCGTATAGTTAATGCTTTAATCACCTCCGACGATTGACTATCATCATTTTGTGCTACTTCTAACTCTGCTTTAAGGTCTTCAATAGTTTTTCGCCCATAAGGAGTTAAATTTTTCCTCCATTTCGAGATCGCACGTCTGCAATTTGTCACTTTTTCTACAAAATTTCCTTCTCCCGAATTCCCATCAAAATGCCAACCGTCAGAGATTGTCTCTAGCAAGCCCTCTTTTCCAATCCATCTTTTATCAAAACGGAAATTTTTCTTCCCTCGAGGTACGTTATCCGCAATTGTCGCCATAGAACTGACGCCTTTTAGTACCCCACATAGTTTCATAGAACTGACGCCTTTTAGTACCCCACATGTTCTTACTTTTTCCCGTATCCATCACACCCTTATGAGCTAGCGACACCTCTGAAGATTCAGCTAACCCAATCGGATCCTTGCCTTCCTCACCATCAACCATTTGATCCTCACCGGCCTCTACTAACCCCTCATCCGCCTGTTCTGACGAGTCCGAACGATCCTCCAATAAATCATCTTCCTCTAACGCTTTATCTGCCATCAACACATCCTCACCAATCTGCCCAGAATTTACCAAAGCATTTGGGCCACTTACCTGAGTTTCCGTAGACATAGCTATAGCATTTTCAACATTTGGCTTTTGTGATATAGCCTGATCTTCAGCTATGACCACCTCATGTGTGGATTTCTCTTCCAGCCCCACTGCTGGGTTCTCTGCAGCATTTAAGCCGTTTCTAGTCACCTTTCCCGGGTCAGCGGTATTTACTGCTGCCTTACCCTCTCTACCCTCCTCACCGCTACCTTGAAACAGAGACTTACGAACCTGTGTAGGAGGTAAGTTAACTTGAGCTTCTACACTCCCAACGACCTCATTTTGTATCCCAGGCTGTCTCTTCTCAACCCTTGCATACACCTTTCTTTCTCGGTTATCATTATATTGAACATGGCTCTGATTTCTCCCATACCGAGAAGACCCTTCTCCGTAATAGCCATCAGCTCTAGGCTTCTTTCCACCATGTTGATAACCATTGTTGAACCTCTGGTCCTCCTTGTATCTCTTCTCTCCTTGAGAATTCTCTTGGAAGATTCCTTTGAGTTTTCCTTCATGACCAGACCCTTTCTTATGGTCTGAAATGACCGCACCACGGTAACTGAGTGATTTTTTGTCCTCTTCCTTCTCCCCTAGCGGTTCCTTGTACCTTGGCTGAGTCTTTTCCCTAGACTGCATACAATAAGATGACTCGTGGCACAAAATGAAGCACAACTCACAATAGCCATGTAACTGCTCATACCGTAGCTTAACCAAAGTCGCTTCACCATTCGAGAACTCAATCTCGGTTTCAAAACACAGAGGTTTTAAACCATTAATCGTAACCTGCACTCTTCCTTTCTGCAGATCCACAGCTTCCTCTTTATCATCCACGTGTCCCAGCCCCTTACCAATATATCTGAAAATAGGTTCAGCCCAAAACTGAAGGGGAACGTCCATAACTCTGATTCAAAACTTCAACGTAGCCGGATAATCTGGATCTACTGAAGGCGCCCATCTTACCATCGCAACCATCCAATTATCAAAATGGAATGGTTCCATCTTAAGCACCGCAGCAATGTCCTCCTCTTCATCGAAATCAAACTGAAACTTCCCCAAACCTAAATCTGCACCAGCAACTTTCCCTTCCAATCCCCAGATACGTGGCATCATGTGTAGCAAAGACTTCATCTCCTATATCCGTGGATTAAAACACCTCCCGATGATTGTCTTTGAGTAACCCGCTATGAGAGCGGAGTTATCAAAATGTGGAATTTTGATCCTCCTCTTAGCCGTCTGACCCTCACCCTTCTGGACTGACCCGCTCTTCTCAACCAGACTGCTTTGTGACATTTCTTAAGACGTTTCTTAATTAAAAGACGTTTCTTAAGAAATATCAACATTTGCCATTTAACTAAATTTATATTAATACCTAAGATTCATCTAAGATTCATCTAAGACTCATCTAAGAGACTACCAATAAGGATGGTCTTAGACACTTGATGTTTGCAAAATATGTTTGACTCAGAACTAACAAGTTCAATTGCTTATGATTCTATCGGTGGAGCATAATAATTAAATCAGACAAACAATATATTAGATACCCGATATGAAATAATATATATATATATATATATATATATATATATATATATATATATATATATATATATATTTTGGTTGAAGAAAAGAAAAAATATACTTTTAAATCTAAATAAACATGATTAGAGTTTCTGTTATATTGATTGAGTTTGTATAGTAATCCAATATTTTTACTTAAAAAATTTCAGAATTTAAATCTTATAATAATAATATAAAAACAATTATTTAAAGAATATATCATCAATTGGTTGTGAGTTAAAAAAAATCTTATAATTTGTTTGCTTGTGATCCTATTCTACAAATGTTTCGTGAGTTTTCATTACAAATATGAAATCATTACGAGATGAAGAAGTAAGAAAAAAAAAATTATCGTCAATTAGTTATAAATTGGAACACATAAGTCATTACAAACAGAAAAATTCATGTGGCTATTGTGTGGAATTTATACAAAAGTATTAGTTCATACGAATTTATTGACAATACGTTAGATAATTTATTAAAAATCAAATTAGTGTTTCCCTTGGCTTTTTTACTTCGAAGTTCAACGGAACTTTCTTTATCATTTCAATGAAAATTGCATGGAAGTAAAAACATGGCTTCACAATCTATACCAAACTTTATACACAAAAGTCAAACTTCTCATTCAGCTTTCTAGGAAAAACTAACTTTGTAAGAGATGATACTTCTAGATCAAACATTTTTGATTTTTTTTTAATATAAATCTAACTTTCTGTAACGTAATATATTTAATATGTTCATTTTGAAATAATAGCGAATACACAGATCCGGATAAAAATATTTAAGATATCAAAAATGATACTTGAAAAGTATATTTTTAAAAGCATGAATGGGTACGGATGTACCGTATATGGACAATTCAGATATACAAAATCACCACTCAAACGAATAAAAGTAATATTCATGTTTGGATATCTTTAGATATTTCAGGTAAAATGCATATATTCAAAAAGAAACTCCCGATTTGAGAAATTTTGGAATAATTTTTAGATAATTTTAAATGATTTTAAAACTTGACAAAACAATTCATATATAGGCTAAAATATTGATGAAATATATTTTGAAAAATAAAATTTAGCAAATAAAGAAAATGTTATTGAAAACAGAAGTGACATCCAATTTTTGGATTCATGTTCTCTTTTTGCATGATAATCGAGACAATATAATATTATTTTGCATATAATATTCTATATTTGATAAACCCAATTATTATTAAAACTATCAATATATATTTCAATATTAAAAATTATTACTACAAAAATTTTGTATTCTAAATACTAAAAATAATTTAATTAAAAATTATTACTACAAAAATTTTGTATACTAAATACTAAAAAAATTTAAACTTTATAAAAAGTAAACAGTGAATAAGTGAATAGTTTATGGTTTTTATGTGATAATTATATTTGATTAAATGAAATAGTAATAAAAAATTTAGATTAATTAGAGATTTCGTAGGAATCCGTTTCTTCTTCGAGAGGTTTTCTCTCTATAGCAGCTCCTTTTTTACTGTTCATCTTCTTCGACAAATTCGTGGCTCCGATCAACGTTCGTGGGCTTCCAAAGCCACGACGTTGGTTCGGCTTAAGTTTTTAAGTTTGTTTCTTTCTTTCTTTGGCTGGGATCTTCTGGTTTTTATGCAGAGTATCTTCTTCCTATAGTCGGAAATCTTTGGTCTATATCCGCATCGGCCCTATGCCAGCTGTCTTCGTTGTGGTTGGTGAAGCGGTATAGACGGCCATCTCTTAGGCTTCTCCACTCGATTCTCCCTTCAGATCTGGGCGAGATCTGTCTTGATTTGGGACTTCTTTCACCGGTAAAGTCGATGGTTTCGATTTCTCTAACAGCCTTTTGTACAAGTTCGAGGCTTAACGGTTAGGGTCCAATGGAGTTTCATGATTGCACTTCCGAAGTCGACTAATCAGCAAGTGAGACATGAAGATTGAAAGGTTATGCTTAGGTTTTCGGTTTCCGACGTCTTGGATTACTTTCCAATCTCAGAATTTCTGACTAATTAGATAGTTGATCCTTTTGCAATTAGATCATTAGTTCCTCTGTTTGGTTTATTTATGTTTTCCAGTAGTTTCAAATTTGTTTCAAGTTCTTATGTTTCCCCAGGATGGGGCTGTTGGCTCCGGGAGTCCGTTATATTGGCCGGCTTTGTATACCTCCGTTGTTTGATAAATAAACATCAGTGACAAAAAAAAAAATAGAGATTTCGTAAGAAGACTGGAGCAAGGGAATTGATTATTGAAATTCCATATTTCATAAGGATATTTTACGTATAATCATACATAATCTCGTATGTTATCAGTTTTGGAACATAGACCAATTAATATAGAGCATGCAAAAGTTCTTTTCAATCATAAACATGATTATTTTTTAGAGAAATTACTCAAAATATCACATTTTCAAATTTTGTTGTCAAAAATACCACTATTAATTTAATGTTCTACAAAAATACCATCAAAAGTTTTGTTTTCCAAAAATACCAAAAACACAAAATTTAATTCTTAAGGGTTGAAAATTTAAAATTTTATTTGAATTGACTATTTTAGATTTAGGATATAGCTTTTGGGAGGTAGGATTTAGTGTTTAGTGCTTAAGATTTAGTTTTGAACAATGAAAATTAAATTTTAATTTCTGTGGTATTTTTATAAAATCAAAATTTAAGTGATATTTTTTTAAAAAAAAGTAACACTTAAATGTAATATTTTCGAAAATTATCCTTTTTTTTTGTTTCCTTGCATACCGATCAAGTTGTAACATTACCCATGACCTTACGACCACAAAATAAAAGTTTGTCAAATCTATAAATATTTTGGTCTTCAACTTGCCTATTTCATTAATTATGCACGATTATATAATTCACCACTAATGTTGCATTACCACTCCAAAGGTCAAATATACTAAAATCCTTTCATTTTGTTATTGATTTAAAATTCTTTCCTCGCATATTAAAACCATCTTACACTGTCTCATTTTCCTTTTATCTAATTAAAAATCCAATATAACCAGCATTTGTATATACTTAAAATACCAGTTGTGTTAATTTTTTTTTTTTTTTTGGTGCACTTGTTTAGAAACCGAGAGTGTGTAGCAAAGTAATTAAGTATTTATTAATCCAATACTTTATTAATCAACTGTTTGTGGATAATAAACAATAAAAAATAAACATCGTCAATATTTTCTTCCGTTGAATCTTCTTCCTCTGTTCTTGTGGTCTTATAGAGGAGCAACAAATCAAATCAAATCCAAAAACAAGAAAAAGAAAAAAAAAAAAACATTTTGCAGAGCAAAAATAAAAAAAAATTGGAGAGAAAGAGAGATTTTTCTAATCTCCAAGAAAATCTGCATTTTGCAATCTTTAAAGAAATTGATTTTTCAATCCATACGTTTCTTCTTCTTCATCAATCTCACTCTGAAAAAGATCCTCTTTTGCTAAGTTTTGAATCCAAAGTTTCAAACTTTCATGTAAAGTTTAAGTCTTTTGTGATTCTTTCTTCTGGGTTTTTGAATGGGTTCAAGGTTTTGAGAATCAGGGTTTAAAGATTTTAGTTTGTTTTTAGGGTTTTAAGTTTTGGATAAGCTTGTTTAGTGATTTGTGTGGAGATGGGAGAGTTTGAGGTAGATGGAGAAGAGAAGTTGATTGTTTCTGCTAAGTATCTTGTGAAGGAACTTAGATCTGGTAAGAGTCTTACTAAAAATGCTAAGAAGGTTTTAGGGAATCTCTTATTGGAGTTGTCTCGTGTGGTGATAGCTGAGGATAGAGATGAGGAAAATGAAATAGGTGAGATTGAGCAAAGGCTTAATGTTGTTAGTGAGAAGATTATGACTAGAGAAGTCGATGAATCGATGATTTGGGATTTGGGTTCAGATGAAGGTAATCTGTATTTAGATGCTGTGAATGAGTTGAGAAGTTTGATTGAACGGTTAGACGGTTCTTCGGGTTTAGGGAAGGCGGGAAGTGAGGAGCTTTCTTTAAGAAAAGCTCATGATGTTCTTCAGACGGCGATGGCACGGCTTGAGGATGAGTTTAAGCATCTTCTTGTTGAGAATAGATTGCCTTTTGAGCTTGAACATTCGTCATTTCGGTCTGTTGAAGCGGATCATGGTGTGGAAGAAGAGGCCATGGCTTCGTTTGGCGCTGCTTCTACTGAGGATTTGATTCTTGGAAGCAATAACGATAGTAGGAGAAACTCAGGGGAAATTGTGGTTGATTTGATTAATCCTGATGTTATATCAGATCTCAAGAACATTGCAACCACTATGATTGCTTCGGGGTATGACCGCGAGTGTATCCAGGTATGTACAATGGTTAGAAAAGATGCGTTGGATGAGTTTCTTTATAACCATGAGGTCGAGAAGTTGAGTATTGAAGATGTTTTGAGGATGGATTGGGCTACGTTGAATACGAATATCAAGAAATGGGTTCGGGTTATGAGAAATATCGTCCAGATATATCTCTTAAGCGAGAAGTCTCTGGACAATCAGATCTTTGGAGACCTAAATGAGATCGGTCTAACTTGTTTCGTCGATACTGTGAAGGCTCCAATGATGCAGTTGCTCAATTTTGGTGAAGCTGTGTCTCTTGGTCCACGACAGCCCGA